GTTGCAGTGAACCGAGATTGTGCCACTGTACTCCAGCCTGGGTGACAGAGACTCCATCTTAAAAAAGTAAAATTAGAAAAAGAAAAAAAGGAAAGAAAACTAAAACTTTTATTGAAGGACATAAAAGAAGACCTAGGCTGGGTGTGGTGGCTCATGCCTGTAATCCCAGCACTTTGGGAGGCCGAGACCGGTGGATCACCTGAGGTCAGGAGTTCAAGACCAGCCTGACCAATAACCGTGGTTTCTTTATAATGGCTGTTCAAATATGGTTGAATAAACTCAGACACTCTGGGGCCCACATAGAGAGGGGCTGGGGCACGCCCTGCAGGGGGCCCCTGTGGCTCCATCTCTTTACTGTTGCCTGTTTCCGTGCTTAATGCCTGCAGTTGTCTTAGTCTTTTGGGGGTATAGGGTACTACACAGTCCTCACACTTTTTCTTCTGAAAAGAGCTGTCATTTTTACCTACAGTTTCAGATTCACTTTGAGCACAGAAAGATGACTTTGGAAAGTTCCTGGAGAGTTTTACTTGCTTAAAGCGTGCAGCTGCCAGGGGTATGTGGCTGGCTGGAACATGGCTCGTCCACAGAGAAGAACGAGAAGGCTCTTTGATGGGGAAGGTGACTTGAGGCTCCTTCCCAGGCCACTGTAGCCTCTGGCTGGGGCAAGAACCCCGATCGCTTCTCCCAAGCTGAGCCAGTGGAAGGCGATGGCCCCCTGGGTCTTCACAAGAGCCATGCTTTGTGGGCTGTACCCCTGCTTTGGGCACATCCAGTGTACCAGATGCAAAATCCTTCTCAGGTGGTCTGGCCACACCAGAAGTGTCTTTCATCTGGCCAGTGGCATCAAAACTTCCTGCAGGCTCTGTCTCAGCCTCCGAGTCCGAATCATCATACGCTACCAGCGAAGCCATTAAAGACAGAGTTCTTGCTGTCCTTCAAAGCCAAACCACCTAAGATCAAACAAAGTCAAGCATGAGAAAATGTACATGGAAGAATATGTATGTAGTTATAAGAAAACATGTCACCTAGGAAATCCAACAACTCAACACTCATAAGAATAAACACAGGCCAGGCACGGTGGCTCATGCCTGTAATCCCAGCACTGTCACCTCTGGGCGACAGAGGGAGACTCCATCTCAAAAAAAAAAAAAAGCGCTGGGTGCGGTGGCTCACGCCTATAATCCAAGAGCATCTGAAAGCAGAAGTTTTCACTCAAGTC